GGTGGTATGCATGCTAATTATAAATACTATAGAGAGCTCAAATAGTATTTTTTTATTTAAAAAAAAAGACTAATTCAAAACCCAACAAAATAAGCACCAAGAAATGAGTGTATGCAGGCAAGAGTGGGGTCAAGGGGAGAGGGGTAAACAAATGAAGAGGGTTGGGGGTGGGGAAACAGGGAGAATGTATTTGAGAATTCATTGTATATATCAAAAAAATAAGAAATGTAGATTATTGTTGAAGGAGGTGTAATACTGATCAAGATGCATCATATGCATAAATTTCTTTGTTGAATGATACCTTGCTTGTACAACCATTTAGAGATAATTTTTAAATGAATTCAAAAAAGTTACAAGACAATGCCCAGGCTCTGAATTCAAGTCCCAGTAACAGCACAAATGCGCGCGTGCATGTGCGCGTGCATGCACGCACAAGCGCACGCGCGCGCGCACACACACACACACAGAGTGAAAATAAAGGTAGGAAGAAAGAGCAGAGGAGAAGAATATGAACTGAGCCTGGTACAAGCTGGAGAGATGAGGAAGGTATTTCAAAAGAGAGTTCATATCTTTGTAGAGTAAAACGGATGTGAAAGACAAGTGAGAATGATGTTTTGGGAAGTATTAACTTAGAGTTGATACCGCTAATATATTAGGTATAGGAAATTTGACAAATTACATTCCGGCCAGAATGAGGTTGACACATTCCATTTCTGGGTGTTAGGTTACAGGCTCATTGCACTGACCTTGGAGACAATGGTGAGGAGAAAATTGGGGGAGGAAGTGGGTCTGGAAAGTGCTCCTGGGAAATTTTTCTATAGAAGAAATAGAAAAATGAAATTGCTGTTAGGGAAGTTTAACTTTTTGGGGAGCATTTCCAAGAACTTTTCTGATCTTTTATTAATACTAATTAATTATACCTATTAATTGGATTAGCATAATATTTCCATTCACTCAGAATAATAATCTAATTCACTCCCCCTTTGTCCACATCTTCCCCCAAGCTCTCCCAAAACTCTAGATTCATTATTCTACACATCCATGTGAAAATGTTGACTCCTACCTACATGTGTGAGAGAACAGGTAACTATTTTTTTCTTCCGTGTCTGGGTTATCTCATTTCGCATTATATCCTCCATTTTCATGTGGTTTGTTGAAATAACAAGATGTCCACTTCTTTCCAGTTGGAGTCTATTTCCTTGTTCAAGTGTTTCAATATATTTCTTTATCCATTCCTCCATTTCTCTTTATCTAGGCTGATTTCCTAGCTTGGATAGTATAAATCTGAGTCTAGGAAGTAAGCAAATGAACAGGAGTATGGAAATTGAGAAGGGGGTAAGAGTTGTCCAACATCACAGATCCAGGCAGGAAGCCAAATCACAAACTCAATATGAAATATAATTAGCTTTGTATGTCATCTGATCATTTGAGAAGCACATGAGGAAAGAAAGCATGAGATGCTCAAACTCCCCAGAAACCCTGTCACAGCGAGATACTCTACAAATCAATCCCAAAACATGTGTATTTACAGAAGAACACCTGCCCTCTGGATTAATTTCTTCAAGTCTCCCTCCCATCACTTTCCTGTTCCTCAGGCTGTAGATATTGGGGTCTGGCATTTGAGGGACCACCATGTACATACATCACTGAAGCCACGGAAGTCTTCCTGGGTGAATCAGTAGTAGAATCATTGTATGCCTTCAAACCTACCCTTGTAGGAAGGACAAAACAGATAGGTGAGACCCACAGGTGGAGACAGTTTTATACCTGCCTCTCATGGAATGGAAGAGACAATCTGAGTATAAAAGAAAAGGAATTCCAGAGCCAGGAATGCCAACAAGTCCAAACTTATGTCAGGAAGTTATGACAAAGGTATCAGAAAGGACAATCTTGATGAACTGAGCTGATTCATAGAAGAACCGGGGGGGGGGGAGGTCCCTAGATCTGTGCAGACGGACAGGCTCAATAGCATCAGACCCAGAGGAGTTCCCAGTGTTAAAGATTAGGGATGAGAGAATTAGCATCTCACACAGGTAGGGGTTCATGATGACCATATAGCTCTGAAGGTCACAAATGGCCACGTGGCAATCATAGCCCATCACAACCAGAAGGACATTTTCCAAGAATGCAAAATTCAAATTAAAGCAAACCTGAGGGAGGCAGCTAGTGTAAAGTGATGCACTGGTCCTGTGTATGGATGTTCACCAGCAACCTAAGGATGGTGGTGGTGCTTAAACAGATGTCAATAAAAGACAGGTTGGAGAGGAAGTAGTGTACAGGGGGTTGTAGAGGTGGGGGTCACAGCTAATGACCAGGATGATGAGCAGGTTTCCCAGGATAGTGACCAAGTAAATGGTTAGAAGAATCTAAAGCTAGCTCATGCTTGTGATCCTAGCTACTCAGCAGGCTGAGATCTGAGGATCATGGTTGAAAGCCAACCCAGGCAGAAAAATTCTGGTGAAACTCTTATCTCCAATGAACATTCAAAACCCAGATGTGGTGCTGTGGCTCAAATGGTAGAACACTAGCCTTGAGTACAAGGGGCTCAGAGACAGCACCCAGCCCCTGACTTCAAGACCCACAACTGAAAAAAGAGAGAGTCCAAAGAGGAGAGGGTGCAGTGGGATCCTCTGTCAGTTCCAGGAGGAAGAAATGTGAAACACTGGTTTTGTTTCTGGCTTCCATATTGTTGATGAATCTAAAGGTGAAAAATGAAGAGAAATTTAAAAAAATGTGTGGACTGGTGACTTACATCATCATTTGATAGCATGTTAGAAATCCATGTTCTCATCTAGTGCTCGTGGTTCACATACCTGTAATCCTGGTTATTCAGGAGGTTCAGATCTGAGGATCAGATCAGGAAGGAAATTTCTCATCTTCAATTAACTATGCAAAAACTAGAACTGGAGCTGTGACTGAAGTTGTAGAGCACCACACTTCAGGGATAAGGCCAAGAGACAGCACCAAGGCCTTGAGTTCAAGCTCTAGTACTGACGCAGAAAATATATAGTATATGTCATATATAGTATATGTTATAGTCATATATAATATAATATGTATATAGTGTGCATATATGTTCTTTGACTTCACATGTGCTTTTTCAACCAAACTTCAAGATAAAAATCAGCAGTCTATACCTTATCAAGCTCTTTAGGTAATTTTTAACTAAGATTTTTTATTAGCATACATTAATTGTAGAAGAAGATTTCATTGCAACATTTCCAGAAATGCTTGCAATGTACTCCATCAACCTTATGCCTGCTAACATTTTTTCCGCACTCTCCTCCTCCCCCCTATTAAAAGTAATTCCATCATGTTCCACTGTGCAGTTTTCACACCTGTACATAAAGTACTTTGTACATAAAGTACTGTACATAAAGTATTTGCCCTGGGTCACCTCCTCCACTCGCCCTCCCATCTCCTGAGGAGGTAGTTCCCATTTAAGTTCTTCATGTTAATACAAAACAAAATATTCTCATATGGATGCCAGTGACTCACATCTGTAATCTTAGCTACTTGGGAGGCTGAGATCTGAGAATCCTGATTCAAAGCCAGCCAGGGAAGGAAAGTAAAACCAGAAGTATGGTGGTTCAACGTGGCAGAGTACTAGCCCTGATTGCAAAAACTCAGGAACAGTGCCCGGGTTCTGATTTCAAGCCCCAGGATTGACTAATGTACATAAACATATAAATCTATATGCTTTCTGTGAACCCAAGTGAATAATCAAATTATTATGTTATGTTTCTTCACTCATCATCCTTCTCTTACCCCTCGTCTCTCAAATTCATTCACTACAAGAAAGTTCCTTTGGTGGTCAGCTATATCAGGCCTTTTGTTATAACAAAATGTATAGAACTTAGTTTATTAAGTCAGCATGATTCTATGTCTGGATCAAAAATGATGATGCAGATATAGTTACTATAATCTTCCTTCTAAAACAATAGTTCTTTACCTGAGATTTGTGACTCATGCCTGTGATTCAAGTCACATAGCTCTTGGCCCTCTTGGAGCGGATATGGTTCATGAGACTCCCTATGTGAACAGAAAAAAAATGGGTGCTGTGGGTTTAAGGGGAAGAGTGCCTTTCAAACTTTTTCCTGGCTGTTGAAGTTGGAAGTGTCCTTCCAGAATTTCAGAAGATGAAATGAGTCATCAGGATCCTGGTCAGAAGGACTGGTGTCTGGGCAGAGGTTTTCTTGTTGGTGTAGGCCTGTTGAGGAGGAGGTGCCAGACAGATTCCTAATGTAGAGACATATATGGCTTCCATTAGCATCCCAAACATTTCTTTCAGCTGCCTATTTTATTCAGGGAAGCCCATCCCTAAAGAGTCTTAGCTCTACAGAAGTGAGGAATTGAGAGCTAATTTTCTGATCAGAGCAAATATCAGCATGGTACCATTCTATTCTTCTATTTTTTCTAGTCATCTCCATTCCCCAGACTTCATTGGAAATAACACATGAAATTTCTCTCATGACAGTGATTCCTTGAAGCTGCAGAAAAAGTTATTCCTATCAATTTAATGTGATCATGAAATGTGAGGGAAAGGAAGGCATGCATTTATAAGGTCAACCACACTAGGAAGAAAAAAACAGCTACAATAAGATTACAAGATGGGCTGAATCCATACCTTGGCTATGGTGAATATTGCTGCAATAAACACGGTTGTGCTTATATTTTGCTATGGAATCAGATCTCTAAAAAAAATTTCTTCAAAACTGTGACCAAAAAATGGAGATACCTATAGGTGGGATAGAAAGGATTGTAAAGAATTTAAAATGAGTATGAATTTGAGTATGGGAAGCATGAAAAATTTGAGGTTATTGCAGGGTGCCAGTGGCTCATGTCTGTAATCCTAACTACTCAGGAGGCTAAGATCTGAGGATCAAAATTTGAAGCCAATCCAGGCATGAAAATCTGTGAGACTCTTATCTCCAAATTAATCCTAGAAAAAGCCAGAAGTCGAGCTGTGGCTCAAACAATAGAGCACTAGCCTTGAGCAAATGGAGCTCAGGAACAGCACTCAGGTCCAAAGTACAAGTTCCAGAACCAGGAAAAAGAGTTGGGGTGATAATTTGTACTGATTGTTGCACTATAGAAATATGATTAATGCCTACCCAAAACAACCATGTGCAGGGAAGTGGTATACTATATATTATGTCTATTGTGCCACAATAGACAATTAATTGGTTTAAAAGAATCCAGACTCAGAAAGATCAATATTATGCATTATTGCTCCTGTGGAATACAGAGTTGACCTAAGAGGGGAATAGTATTTGGATGAGTATCTGAGCAAGAGGAGAAAAAGTGCAATTGGGTGTGATTATTATATGCTTATCATACAATAGAGATTTCACTCAAAGTCATATTAATTACTAATTAGTATAAATGAATTAACAAGTCTTATCAATAAATTTCCTTTTGTTAAATCTACACGAGACAGGGGGAAAAGCAAAGGAAAAGGTAACATTGTCCAAAAAAAGAAATTATGTTCATTATATGATTTATGAAATGGAGCCCCTCTTTACAACACTTTAATAATAACAATACAATTGTATTAAAATTATTTAAAAAGTCATATTAAGAAGTTTCTTGGTGTTAATAATATCCATGTGACTGGCGAAAAAGCAAAGGAAGACGGTGACATTGTCCAAACAGAAATTATACTTATCACCTACTTATGAAATGATGACCCTTTTGTACAATACCTTAATGAACAATAACATTTTCTGTCTTTTTAAAAAGTCAGATTGGAGGCATGGCTCAGGTGGTATGATACCAGCTGTGAGCAAGAAAGCCAAGCAAGATCAAGAGGCCCTGAGTTCAGGCCCCAGTACCATCACAAAAATCAAATAAATTAATAATGCCAATTCACCATTTGAAACAAAATACACAAGTTACAAGTGGATTATGCCGTGTTAGATGCTTAGGGAAGGAAGAATTTATAAATCTTTAGGGGTTTCTCTTCTCCTTTCTGTACGAAGAGTAAATAAGGGCATCTAGGGAAACCTGTGGAGATTTGAATAACATGGTACCTTCAGCTAATTGTGAGCTCTGCACACAGAGCATTCAAAGTCATTTAAATTGCCAAGAATCAGCCTCTGCCTTCAGACCATCAGACAGATCCTTCCCAGGCGCAGGTGGCTCCATTTCTAGATATTTCTTCCATGAACTTGTACAGGAGACTGTGGTTTTGTACTATTTTCATATCCAAATTCAAGACAGGGCCTGAGATTTCCCTTCAGACTGGACAGGGGTGAATCATTTGCTCTCCAGCTCTTACAAATGACCCAACTGAGATACAGCATCACCCAGTAAGTGTGAAAAGAGGTTGTGTGGATGAAGGAAAGATCATAAGAGGACAAAACATGAATGGTTAGTTTGTTTACTTGTAATGTCTATGTCACATCTTACATTTCAAATTATTCTGGATATATTAAAAATGCTTAAGAAAGTGGCAGTAAGGGAAAGGTGGATTATGACAGGAAGCATTGCATCCTGAATTTTGTTTTGTTTTGTTTCTATTAAATATTTTTATTGTTATTATAAAAGTAATGTACGGAGGGGTTACTATTTTGTAAGTCAGGTGATGGAATACATTTCTTTTTGGACAATATTTCCCCTTCCTTCATTCTCTCCGTTTTTCCTTCCCATCCTGCCCACAAGTATAGTTCATTTTCAACAGAGTGTCTACTGAGTATCACTGCTGCATTTGTTTACACTTTGCACTTTGTCCCTCCATTTCTGTACTCACTGCTCCTCCCCTCCCCCTCCCTCTCCTCCTTTTCTTCCCCCTCCTCCTCTTCCTCCTCCTCCACTTCCTCCTCCTCCTCCTCCTCTTTCTTCCTAGAAGCAGTTTAAAATATGCCTTCAGGCAGGTGTCAGTGGCTCACGCCTATGACCATAGTTACTCAGGAGGCCACGATCTGAGGATTCTAATTCAAAACCAACCTGGGCAGGAAAATCCACAAGACTCTTATCTGCAATTAAACACCAAAAATCCAGAAGTAGAGCTGTGGCTCAAGTGGTAGAGTTCTAGCCTTGAGCGAAAAACTTCAGGGACAGCTCCTAGGCCTTCAGTTCAAGGCTCAGAATTTACATTTGCACACACATTCATATACAAAACAAAAGAAAAAATTCCACCCTATTTTTAATTGAAATATTTTTAATATTTTATTACTTCTGAAGCATTTAAAAGTAATGACATAATATTATATTATATAGCATTATATATTATATACCTTTTTACTTAAACCACTTCTATGAAAATATGAGATTTACTAGATATGGATAGGTGTTGTATAATCAATCAATTTTGAATGACAAATAGAAGGTGACTGGCCCTTTGCTTCATGAGGAAGCATAAATATGAAGTGTAGGAATTAGTATATAAATTACAAGGAGATAATTGTCACAAGGGAAAACTAGTTTTCCTGATTTTAAACCATAAACTTTAACTTAAAGTTCAATTACTGTAGTCCTGACTCTAGTAGAAGATGCATTCGTAGCTTAATAAAGGAAATTTATAAAACTCTAATAGGAAAATAAAATTACTTTGAGCATCTTTTATTTTTCCTTGAAAATAATAATTATTTCTTAAAGTGAGAAGGACATTCTTTATCCTATACAAGTCTTTGTTACTAGTTCATTACTGGCTTACTTAACTACTTATTATTATCATTATTATTATT